TTACAAATAAAAAAATATACATGCAATACAAATGTATTGCACAATAGCTGTGCTTTATTTTAACTGAGCTATGCCTTTGGCAAGCTATTAACAGGCATTACACTGTGCCTTGTCTTTTTATTTTTTAGTGTAGTGGAGCCTCACTTCAGAGCGTTTACCGCGACCCATCTTTGGTGTTATGAAGTGACTGAGCTCGTGAACTGTATACGGGAGGGCGGGGGAGCCTCGCTGCGGGGCAACTGTGGACCTCTGTCGCCTGTCAGCGCAACATGATGCCATTAAGGGCGGTGCCGGCCGTCAGCGTACCGAGCCGGCCGTCAACGGCCCGCTGACGACCGGCCGTTCTGTGATTCTCCAGAACACACAGATGGCCAGTCCGCTATGTATTCCACCGGGTCACCGCGGTGCAGACTGACCCGGTGGAATACAGGGTCTACCGCGTTTAGGAACCGTTAAGCAGAACCGAAATTGTGTATTTTGTATGTACCCGGCATTTTCTTATCGGTTCTCCTCTGGAACCGAGTTTCGGTTCCCAACCCTAGTCATAACGTTATAGTATGGACTGTCATGAAGCTAATTGGTTAATAAGTTGCTAGCGCCATAGGAAGTCGAACAAGCAGATATCAGAATTAGTCATTGATAACATCACAGTGAAAGAGATGAATGGAAAAAAACAAAAGCTTGGAGCAAAAACAAGTGAACGATTTAGAATTTAGAATTTAGAATGATGACATCAGCAAAGCATGATGACACCATCAACTTGTGACTCGATTATGGAACTGTATGTCGTCATCATTCGCTTTGAAGATGACATCATCAAACCTTAGTAAGAACTCAGGGATTCAGACACTTTCATATCGTTATAACCTCAGGAAGAAGACAGTCCAACTTTAAATCTGCTCTGCTGGGACATCTTACAGGAAAAATGAGTTGCTCAAAATCAGATAAGGATGGGCCTGATCCCACAATACTTTACAGCAGTTCCACACGCTTCATTTTATTGGACTTTGTAGGAGAAGGGTCTTTTGGAAAAGTTGCCAAGTGTGTTAATTTGAAAACATCTGAAACAACGGCAATCAAGATCCTCGAAGACGGAAGAGATGCAAATAATGAATTGAGAATGCTTCTACAAATCAAGGGACTTGACCCAGATAAGAATAACTTAGTGAGATACATGGATAATTTCATGTTCCAAGACAAGTATTGCCTAGCCTTTGAAATGCTGGACATGAGCATTTGGGACCTTTATAAGCAGAAGCAGGAACCATTTTCCCTGAACGAAATCCGCCCTATCACACAACAGCTACTTGTAGCTTTTGAAGCCCTGAAGGGAATTGGCATTATTCATACAGACCTGAAACCGGACAATGTCATGCTTGTAAACCACAAGTCTCAGCCCTTCAGGATTAAATTAATTGACTTCGGTTTGGCCCTCCCAGCTTCCGAAGCAGAGGTTGGTATGGAAATGCAACCTATTTCTTATAGAGCTCCAGAGGTGACCTTGGGTCTCCCTATAACTGAAGCCATCGACATGTGGTCATTGGGATGTCTCCTGGGTTCATTGTATTTTAATACCAACTTTTTCCCTGGAGCATCTACATACGACCAGATGAGAGCTATTTGCCAGCTCCTTGGTCAGCCAAAAAAACACCTGCTAGATGCTGGGATAAACACTTCGCAGTATTTTATCAAGGGAAGGGGCTTGACTCCAGGATGGGAGCTAATGACGCCATCTCAGTACAAGATGGTGTCTGGTGTCCAGCCAGAATTTCCAAGTTGGTATTTTGATGATGTTAAAAATTTGACAGGTGCAGTAATGGAGAAGCCAGAGGAACATGACTATGATACGTCTGAAGACAAGATTACATTGTCAGAGGTTATGCGTGAAGACAGGATGGCATTCTCAGACCTCTTAAATGCGTTGTTCAATCTGGATGGTCAGACTAGGATTACGCCCGGACAAGCCCTAGAACACAGTTTTGTAACAATGGTTCACCTAGAAGATAACATGTATTCTAACCCTCATGCATCAGAGGCCTTTGAGATGATGGACATCTGCACCCTGGATCTTTCAGATGCAATGTGTGATCCTCTCAGCGACCCTGAAACTGACATGAAGGCAACTGACGGTGACTCACCCCCTGAGAGTTCTCGATGTGCTGCCAATTCAAACACTGAGAGACCTACCAATGACACAACCTCTCAGGCAGACCCCTGCAATCCTGAACCCCACAACAACGAGTCAGCACCCGCACCACTTCAGGCACAAAATCCCACAATACTTTACAGCAGTTCCACACGCTTCATTTTATTGGACTTTGTAGGAGAAGGGTGTTTTGGAAAAGTTGCCAAGTGTGTTAATTTGAAAACATCTGAAACTACGGCAATCAAGATCCTCGAAGACGGAAGAGATGCAAATAATGAAGTGAGAATGCTTCTACAAATCAAGGGACTTGACCCAGATAAGAATAACTTAGTGAGATACATGGATAATTTCATGTTCCAAGACAAGTATTGCCTAGCCTTTGAAATGCTGGACATGAGCATTTGGGACCTTTATTCGCAAAAGCAGGAACCATTTTCCCTGAACGAAATCCGCCCTATCACACAACAGCTACTTGTAGCTTTTGAAGCCCTGAAGGGAATTGGCATTATTCATACAGACCTGAAACCGGACAATGTCATGCTTGTAAACCACAAGTCTCAGCCCTTCAGGATTAAATTAATTGACTTCGGTTTGGCCCTCCCAGCTTCCGAAGCAGAGGTTGGTATGGAAATGCAACCTATTTCTTATAGAGCTCCAGAGGTGACCTTGGGTCTCCCTATAACTGAAGCCATCGACATGTGGTCATTGGGATGTCTCCTGGGTTCATTGTATTTTGGAATCTGGTTTTTCCCTGGAGCATCTACATACGACCAGATGAGAGCTATTTGCCAGCTCCTTGGTCAGCCAAAAAAAACACCTGCTAGATGCTGGGATAAACACTTCGCAGTATTTTATCAAGGGAAGGGGCTTGACTCCAGGATGGGAGCTAATGACGCCATCTCAGTACAAGATGGTGTCTGGTGTCCAGCCAGAATTTCCAAGTTGGTATTTTGATGATGTTAAAAATTTGACAGGTGCAGTAATGGAGAAGCCAGAGGAACATGACTATGATACGTCTGAAGACAAGATTACATTGTCAGAGGTTATGCGTGAAGACAAGATGGCATTCTCAGACCTCTTAAATGCGTTGTTCAATCTGGATGGTCAGACTAGGATTACGCCCGGACAAGCCCTAGAACACAGTTTTGTAACAATGGTTCACCTAGAAGATAACATGTATTCTAACCCTCATGCATCAGAGGCCTTTGAGATGATGGACATCTGCACCCTGGATCTTTCAGATGCAATGTGTGATCCTCTCAGCGACCCATCTGAGAATGGTGAGACTGATATTGGGGTCACATAAAATCAGTAGTCTTCAGAAACAACCACCAAGTGTGCAGGATGACCACAGGACCTTCAAATACTTTAGCCTGTGCAACCAGGGTTTTCTCCGGGAACTCCGGTTTACTCCCGCTATATAATGATTATGCAAAAAAAAACAATTGGTGATGTGAAATTGTCCTTGTCCTTGTGAATGTTTTAGTATGCGTCAGCCCTGTAACATTGATATGGGTTTGATTTGACCCTAGTGTTTTTATTTAACGTGTTACTGCAATCAATAAAAATGCAAACATTTAAAATGTAAATATATGATTCAATATTTGTCTTGAGAATTGAGGAACAAATTATGATGTAACAACAAGTGATGACTTGTATGTCATGAACAAGTCATGGTAAAGTAGATCATACTGAAAATAAAGATGTTTAAAATATATGTTTTCACAGCAATGTAAAACAGCTTATAATACAAAAATGAAATGACCAAAGCATTTCTTTCAAATCATATATTTGTTTTTCTGTGTTTTACCTTGGTATGGAATAGGACTGATTTCAACTAATAGTATTGGTTTTGACTACTACAGTTCTGGGGAAAATCTGGGTGAACTTCTTGGTGTATAATATAATAAAAATGACATTTCAAAAGACTCTCAGGATAAATCCATGAAGACATGAGATTGACTGATATTAATAGACCCTCATGGCAAAAACACATGTTTTATTAATGAGGCCACTCCAGAGAAAGACATCTTTGAGGATCCTTACCTTCAAAAAGGAAGATAATCAGTTTATTTTCTAAATCTATTCTTGTGTTTTTTCACTCATATTGTTCTCAATGGAGTGATTATATAAGATACAGGGAAGAAACACAGACACACTAATAGACAGAACATTGAATGTCCTGGCATGAAAAGACTGATGAATATTGACATGCAGACAACAGTGTACTTTGTGTTTGTGATCGTGTGCCAAGTCCTTGCACTGTACGACTGCCCTCAGGCATACCGTACGCTACGATTGCATGTCACTGTTTTTTGTTTGTTTTGCAGACTCACATGGCAGTATGTGTGCCACAATTATGTTTCTCAACATACAAAAGGCAACAGTAGTCAATAAATCAATCTGAAAGATATCTCTTTCATTGATGAAGTGTGTATACAGTATGGCATACATACACATAATACAATATGGTTATACTGTTGTAAAATCGAAAAAGATATATACAAGATTACATTATATCTATATTTTGTAATTTGCACAGATGTGTTTGCTTAAAGGTGAAATGAGGAGCTTAATCTTGTAGTGTTGTACATCCTAATGAATCATCAGGATATACGCGTGTGTATGAATGAAACGGAGGTAGATTTAATCTTTCTCCTTCAGAAGGTTTCATCAAATGTATGATTTGATAACACAGGAAATGTCTCAGCCTTTCTGTATACTTTGTTTTCTCCTTAGTTAAGGACATTTTGAAGAGCAAAACATGTTTTAAAAAATATCACTGTGAGCATGTCAGAGTACAGTAAGTCAGCTATATTTCATCTACTGACAGCGAGTGATTTAGTAAACTAACCTCATCTCCAGGTCATGGCTGTCTTGGGGAGTAAAGCTGAACAAGGCCACATAGGTGTTGAGCTTAAGGACATCTTGTTGTAGGTGGATCTGCTCCAACTAAATAACACAGACACACACACAGAAAAACACATGAACACAAACAGATTTGGTTGTCAAGAAGTCTGAAGAAAAAGGAAAACATAGCTGACAAGTTAAACAAAGCTCATAGTCACAAAAATACAATGCAACACCATATTTTCTATTGTCACTTTTCTCGCTTCTTAAAATAGTATGTTGGCATTCACATAGGCAGGAGAAGCCCTTGTTTACTGAACACTGATAGACTGGGCTTATGTTGTTCTGCAATCTGTTCCTTTAATCCACCGTCAACACGAGTGGGAGAAGCAGGATCACGTTTCCATGAACACTCAGGAAGTTAAAACAGGAGAGGGTTGTGGGTGGAGAGGAAGTTGTCAGAGAAGTGTTAGCACAATTAGCGAGGAGACGCGGCGCCACACTGGTGCCCTTCACACCTGCTCCTGGTGGGCGTCTTCTTGATTCATCACCAATAAAAAAAATATAGGGCACAATGTACTTCAAGTCTCTTCCCCGAAAATGGACGGCTGGCATATTGTATTGCAGAGAGGATAGGTGTCTGCATGTGTACCGTTTTATTTCCCATGTATGGTTATTTGTTCATTTTTGTGTTTGTCCAAATATCTGTGTGGCTTTTTCCATTGTTGACAACAGAGATAAACATGTTAAACTATAAAAGTAAACATGATAGATTGCTGCACATAGAAAAAGTGCACAAAGAACATTGATACTGAAAGCACCTCTCCAAAACACTTTGAAAGATAGACAGGAAAAGAGCCGCTTAGAAATCTGCCCATGAAATATTCATGGTTACCCTGCAGGAGGTGCCAAGATATTCAGAGAGGTTTAACCTTTTTCTCCCACCACCAGCATGAATTGTGCAACATTATCACTGCATCTACGGTGTAGAAAATAATACCAGAAACACAGAGCTGCAGATTGAGACGTTACATGACTTCAAAGCTTCTCTCTATCAGTTCAGGCCAGTGCTCTTGTCAGCTCCGGTTTGATTTGTTACAGCAGGAAGAGAAGTTTTCCCTCAGAATCCTGGGAAATCGAGCAGTGACGATTGAGGCGAGGGGCAAAGAGCAGCGAGCTTATTGGAGGCAGAACCGACTGGCTGGGTATTAGTTCTCAGAGTGACCATGAAGAGTTCAGGCACTGGTCAGTAACAAAGTCTGTTCTCAGAGGTTGTCAGACTGCACCAATAATACTCATTACTGTACTGACTGTGAGTCCCAGAATAGCAATCACTGTGATGACCAGACTGCTTCGCTTGCAATTCCTCTAAACACGTATTGTGCATTAAATCTGTAATACAGTATGTACAAAGATTAAAATGGATGTGTTTCTTACCGGCAAGTCGTCAGGACTTCTCTCTGGCTGGAGGTAATGCTCATTTCCGTTCTCGATTACTGTGAAAACTGTATAAAAAAATAAAGACTAAATTAAATCAAATGAATCCAAGAAGTTAGATTGAATTCTACAATAGTAGCTAGTAAAGGCTGCAATGTCTAAAAGATGATATGTTGGACACCAAAAAGACACACTAGGAATAGTTTAAAACCTTACCAGAAACATGGAAGATATTATACATTAAGTTTAATTATGAGAAATTGTGACTGTGTCTGCCTTGTGTTTTCTTCTGTGGTTCACACATTTTCAAACTATCTATTTAAAGATAGTTTATAGTTTTATTTTTTAATGAACTAAAGCACGTTCAAGAAAGCAGAGCAGTGTCATGGCCCAAAGGTGACCCTGGCTCAGAACATAATGTATTCTTTAGTAGGGTCAGGTGGTAATCTCTAAAGGAAAGGGCCAGGTAGGTACTACCTTGGTTGGCTTGAGCATTTACCTTGTCGTCCTTTCCTTCCCTGCCTAGTGAACGCTCCAGATTGTAACGGGTCAGTGCCTTGACCTTCACTGCATAGACTATTGTGCAGCTTTTAAATAAAGAGCTACACACAATGCAGACCACGAAAAAGAGAGGTCCTAATGTTTTTCTACAGGATACTCTATAGCCGGGTCAGAGTTAGGAAACACAACAAAAGGAGCAAAGAAAAGCTTATTTAATGGTTCAACGGAGGACAATTTGATGTCGCAACCTTCTCAGACTCTCTTGGTGGGTGAGCGTGTGTTTACCCTGTGTCACTGCATGGCTGTAATTCAGATGTAATCAATGTACCGCAACAGATACTCACCATCATCGCTGTGTTTTCTCGACAGCTCCTGCCTGCTGCTGTGAGCCACCACTTCCTCTGGAACATTATCCAAGTCATTGGTCTGCAGAAAGAAAAGATAAAACAGATTAGAGATAGGGAGATATATTAACAGAAGACTCTGAGGAGAAAACTAGCTAAAAATGAATCCACTTTCACTGTGTAACCCGCTAACTGCGAGAAAACTGTTTCCTAGTCCGCATTTGGAAAGTATTATCATAACCCCTGTGGAGATCACATTGTCTCTGAGAGCCTACACACACACACACACACACACACACACACACACACACACACACACACACACCACACACACACACACACACACACACACACACACACACACACACACACACACACACACACACACAAACAGCTGCAGTGGACAGGACAGGATGGCCAACAGCTTTCAGATGTCATCTTACGGAGGCACGTATCCAGACATGTTAGCTTACACTAAAAAGTGATAAGCAATGAAAAACAGAGTTCCTTGTGTATTACAGAGATGAGAGGAGGCTGGAGAGTGTAGCCGTACACTACAATCATCCCGGCCATCTTCAGAGCTGTAACATGAGCCTTTGCACCCACATCTCCCTTCATCAGTGCCTGGACCAGAATGCCTTTATTGGTAGTGTTTACAGCCCTGCAGGGGCAGTATCTATTCAGACAATCAGTAACAGTATGTCTGTCGCAGTGAGAAGAAAATATATAGAAAGATACATTACCTTAACTGAACTGTATGTACATTGGGTTTTAACTTAAATAAAAATGGAAGTGTTAGTGATCTGTATTGTTTGTTTGACACCGTTAAGAAAATACACTAACATGATGAATGATCCTTTTTCTTACCGAGTTTCTTTGAGGAGACTCAGAGCCACTGGGCCTCTTGGCTTTTTGTGCCAGCGACGTGCCAAACCTCAAGGCCTCGTACACAGGGTCCACTTTGTTTCCACAGGCTTTAGAAAATAATAAGACAACATTTGAGCTAATGGCAAACATATGTTAAGCTTTCTGATTAGCTATGAGGTGCACTAAAAAACTGAAACGTTGTGTATAATGTCAACAAATGTTACATTACTGTATTGGGTTAGTTGAAACCAAACATATTAAGTTAAGATTAGTTTATTTATATAGCACATTTCAGACACAAGACGAGCCTAATATTTTATATATTATTTCAACTCACTTTCAACTACCCTAATACAGTTATGTGAAATGTGTTACATAATATATTGAATTGATTGTTGTGATTTACAATTCTATCAAAACAAGTTAGAAAATCTTTAAAACAGCAAGTGCAAAAATGGCACCAAAAGAGTTGAGAAAAGTATTTGGTAACACTTTATATTAAGGTACACAAATTAACCATCAACTAGTTGTTAATTAGCATGCATATTAGCAGTATAATGGCTCTCTATTAGTCATTATACAACACTTATTAATGCCGTATTCTACATGACCATATTCTACAAGTAATAAGCCATTAGTTGAGAGTTTTTCCTCAATAACACTCTAATTAGTGCTTATTTATTGCAAGTAAGGAAGTTGTTGTACATGAGTTTTGGTCTTAATATGCGCTGCTTAATATGGGCGTAATAAGGCAGTAGTAGCACAAGAATAGTAATTCTCCCATAATAACACTTAACAAATATGATCTATTCTTATGGAACAAGACATGAAACTATAAGTGTTAATTGTGTCTAAATCAGTGGCGTAGCTGTGGGTGGGCCCGGGTCCACCCACATGCACGTCTGGCCCACCCACAGCCAATCAGCGCTTCATAGAGCAGAGCCGGGAAGCCCAGAAGGAAGTGCCACAAACTGCAGTTCATCTAGTGGCCGACAGGGGATGGATGCAAAAAGGAGCAATTCCCATAGACCCCCATGTTAAAATGCCCAACTTTACAGCAGAAATAAACATGTTTTTAGCCTGGATCCAATACAACTTATTCTGGATATAGTTAGATTCCACCTTCATGACAATGGAATAGGGAGTGCATTTTTTTACCGTGAGTTTTTATAGTAAGTAAAGTAACTTTTGCCGTGAGTGAATGAGCGAGGGGGCGGGGCAGTTTACACACACGCAGCTGCTACATGCAGCAACACACACACGGAGGAGATGGCGGAGAGAACGCGCTCCGAGGTGTGGTTAAACTATAGCCGTGTCGATGTGGACAATACTCGTTACCAAAAGTGCAATAAGAGTTTAGCATGTAAGGGCGGTAACACGAGCAATTTGTCTAAACATTTAGCAAAAGTGCTCCACATTCAGACGGAGAAATGCACCGGGTTCGACTGTCTTTCTAGTAGCTCTGTAGCCCCGTCCACGAGTAACGTTTCCACGTCAGGTGTTATGTATGCTAGCAGCAACACACGGAGCTAACTACATTATACAAACATGGGTTAATGATTAGAGGTAACTGAGTTATTTATTTTGTTAAAGTTTCAGCTATTCTGTTTACAGTTCTGTCATCACATTATTTAATACGATTTGTTAAAACATTGTTGTTTCTTTCGATGTGAAATATTGTTTATTTAATTGAAATAAAAAGCAATGTTAGTTTTGTTCACAATTTGTTTAGTTAGTTTGCCTTAATTTTTTCTCCAAAAGAACCGATAAAAGTAGGTGTTGAAGGACCGGATCGATAAGACAGACATACTTTATTGTCATTTCAACAAGACACAGAGTGTACTATTAAAACGAAATTTCGTTGTACTGGCTTACAGGAACAGGACAATATAAAAACTTGCTAAAATTGTACATAAATAATAGTGACGTGGTGCTGATAAAATTAAAGATAAAGTGTGCGTTTAAAATATAAAGACTTATACATATAAATAAGATAGACATAGGCCTACTATATAACAAATATGTGCTCTTTACACAGCGTAATGTAATCTTTATGTTACTGGTCTACTTGCTGTTCAGCAGTCTGATGGCATGGGGGAAAAAGCTATTGCAGAATCTGGCTGTTCTGCTCTTAATGCTGCAGAACCTCTTGCCGGAGTGCAGCAGGGAGAACAGAGCATGGTGAGGATGAGTGGGGTCTTTCAAAATGTTCTGGGCTTTTGTCAGGGAGCATTTCTGAGCGGTGTCTCTGATGGGAGGGAGAGACACTCCGATGATCTTCTCTGCTGTCCTAACCACTCTCTGCAAAGACTTCCAGTCTTTGGCGTTGCAATCTCTTGACCAGATGGAGATGCCGCTGGTCAGCACGCTCTCTATGGTTCCTCTGTAGAACGTGGTGAGGATGGGAGGGGGAAGCTGTGCTCTTCTCAACCTGTGCAGGAAGTGTAGGCGCTGCTGTGCCTTCTTAAATAGTGATGTCGTGTGAGTGGACCAGGTCAGACTGCTTGTGATATGCACCCCCAGGAACTTGGTGCTGTCTGTAGTCTTCACTGCTGTGCCGTTGATGTGGAGTGGTGGGTGACAGTGCTTTTTGTTCCTGAAGTCGACAATGATGTCTTTAGTTTTATCGACATTCAGGATCAGGTTGTTGGTGTTACACCAGTCTGTCAGATGTTTCACCTCCTCCCTGTAGGCCTGTTCGTTGTTGTCCCTGATGAGTCCCACCACTGTTGTATCGTCCGCGTACTTTATGATGTGGTTGGTACTGAACCTGGAGCATAAGCGCTATCGATAAAAGTAGTAGTACCGTTGTGTACCCATATGTGGATGTCAGTTTTACACACATTCTGAGGCCGCAGTGCCTATGTTTTTGTTTTCACTGCTAATTGATGCTTATGTTCTATTAGTGCATTAAAAAATCATTAAAATCATTAATGAAGTTTCAGCTCAGACCCCACGCTTAATATGTCTCCCCCTGGCCCACCTACATTTCTCCAGGCCCACCCACACAATAATTCCTGGCTACGCCACTAAATAACTCAAAATTAGGTATTTATATCTTATAATATGTTTTGGGGTATTGACAGTTCAGCTACCAATAGCAAGGTGATATTGACCAGTATGTTTCATATTTGCACATTTATATTTTTGTAAAATGTGTACTGAAGGTTAGACCCGGGTACAGGAAGTAGGAGAACGTGAACGGAATATAATGGCAGTAGACATCCATGAGTACACTGCCACTAATTTTCCCTATGCAACCTGAAGAGTAAAAGGGTCAAGTCCGTCAGAAAGCAATGACTGTAAGTGTGAGCCTTACACTTACACTGTAAGGATTAGTAACATGTATTGTGTTTATGTGATGACATGTGGAGATGTTTAAACTCAATGAGAAAATGCGTTAGCATTCGCGCTAGCGTTAGCATACACGGTAGCGTTAGCATACATGCTAGCGTTAGCCATACTAGCCTGTATACATGCTTATTGTACAGCTAGCATTATCTATGTTTACCTTGTTTACACTAAGCGGTCCTAATGTGTTCATCTGTGTATGTTACACTTGCATGTATGAGATCATTAAGTGCCTTGTAACTTCTTTTTTTATAGTTTCACTCCATTTGAATGTCACTGGACTGCAAATAAGTCAATAAAGGAGCATGGCTGCTCATTCCCTGGCTCTCAAAAGAGTTTGGCTGGCTGTTTAATCTATGTTCACACTGAGACAACACAGAGAGAGAACAGTACAACTATTGTGTAAGAACATACAAGCAGGTCACACAGTATGATCACAAATACATAAACTCTGTTAAAAATCAGTTTTTATTAAAAAGTACAGGCTGCATATATGTTCTCAGCCTTGGAGAAACTTGACATGTTTTGGTACATGTATGTGTCTGAACCTCTCTTTAGTGGTTTAGTGGGTTGTTTGTTTTTTTAAGGCTATTTTTTTTAAGGCTATTCATACTGCTATGTAGAGTGAAGAGCCCCTACTATTTTAACAAATACGCCTGATGTCAGGGGCCTCTTACTGTCTACTTCTGCATGTATTCACATTATATGGACCATGTTTACACCTGTTGAAACTAGGGCTGCACGGAACTCAGGCTACAATACAACCATTTTGTTCTGCTCTAACGATTCAATTTATAAATTCTACATCAAAATAGTTCGGTTTATTGTTTCCAATGATAACGTCACCTTAAGTGGAGGAATGCAAACCTGTTTTAAAATGTAAGGTTTTGAATTTCTTTGACATTTCTCAGTAATGACACCCTCAGACGCCCACTATCATTTATGCCAGTGGTTCCCAAACTTTGTTGTGCCCAAGGCACACCAAAGGACAAGTAAAAAATCTCAAGGCACACCTATTGTGAAAAGATAGCCCTTATAACACGTGTTATCACTCATATTATGTAAAGTATCTGTAAATGTGCATAATTATTTACTAATGCCAAATAAAATGTGACAAAGACAACTATATTACGAAATATTTCCGAAATTAATTTGAAACTTTATCAAATTAGGCTTCATCAAAGCAGCAACACACTCATTTACACCAGACAGGTCACAAAATAGAAAATGAGGCAAAGGAAACTCAGCAGAAATTCAGCACAGACAACTGTCAATGCAAGGAAGCTGCATTGTCCATGGTCCGGAACTACAAATTATAAATGTATTACTTTAAAAAATGTAATATATTACACTACTTCGTTACTATCTACATAAAGTAACTCGGTACTTTACTCGTTACTTTCCTCGCCGAGCACGTACAAACTGCGCATGCGTGAGTGGCAATAACTTTCCTTACCAGCAGGCGGCGGTAGTCAAGCCCCCAGGTAGTGCGCCGGACTCAGATGAAAATATTCGTGCTGGCCAAACGGCGGTACTACACTTCCGGTTTGGTTGCCAGGCCCGGAAACACTTTTCCCATTGACTTACATGGGGAAAGAGTGGTCTGTAACTCGTTGGATAATTTTTTAACTAAATAAACTACCCAGTATGAACACTTGTATAGCCCTTATTAAAAAAACATTCGTTCCTCAAGTTGTAAAACATTTGCTAATAACGTTATTCTGAGAGTTATTTCCCTCTGCATTATGAACGCGCATCTAATCCACGGGACCGCGCAGCCCGGCACGTTCACAGGGAGGGTG